AAAGTTTTAATAGATATAGAAATTTTCAAGCTGGTGCAGTCTTAATCAAAGCGATGATGTCGGTGAGAAGAAAACCTAATGGTCAGATGTGGTTTTTTTCTTCAGCCTCACCATGTGCATGCACAGCCTCCACCAAGCAGAGGCAGCCAATCATAATGATATTCGTACATGCAAGACAGATCCCAACGGACCAAATGGCAATATTAGAATATTAGTCTGAGTCTTGACGATAAGGTGGGGTTTTATTTATTTCTCTCGATTTATGGGGAAGGGTCAAAAACCCTGCCGAATTTTCCTCCTGCCAGACTTAGAATTCAATAATTGAAAGCAAGAGGAAAGATACCTCTGTATAGTTTGTTCAAAAAACTTCAGATCAAAGATGAAGAGACGAAAGAAAGATAACTAAAATCAAGAAGTTCTATAAAGCTGTGTGCGCGCCTCTCTGCTTCCGCCCCATTCCATTAAAACCCTATTGTTATACTTCAAACTTCTCTTCTGCTCGGAACTCTTTAATCAATTGCAATTGCATCAAAAAGCCATCCGACGTTTGGCTAGCGACTCGCTATGAAAACTGACGATGAGTAGAGTCTTGCCTCGTAAATTCTTTTCCCTACCCCTCTACTCTCACCGGAGCGGAATTCCGCTTGTTCAGAAAGGAAATTTCTAGCGCGACCGAATTCTCGGCTCAGACACGGTCAGGTCCCGAATCTGGCGAATGAATTTGAGCGGGCTGAGACACTATGACTTAGGTGATGGCTCATGTTACACAGTACATTGACTGTAAAGACCGGGATAGGCCATGTTACTGCCAGATTTGAATTCAATCCGACCATCTGGGCTCGGCCCCTCACACCATCACGATACGCCATTTGAGGCTGAACGGAAATTCCCTTAGGGGCTACCTATATGGTATGCATTGGTGCCCCAGCCTTACAGTGAACTTATTCATTGCATTCTTCCCGCACTCTCAGAACATTGATGACTATTGCTATCTCCCTGCGATCAGTTTGCCGCTATTAATTGCCGAAAATCAATAACGTGGAGTAACTGAATTGTCTATGGCCGACTCAGACTCTCACTTAGGGCTAGGTTACGCTACCGGCCTTGCCCCACAAACCCCTAGCTTTGGCCCTTCTAATCGAACTTCTGCTGAGGGTACTCGGTCGCAAGATAACCTTCTGTCTGGAAATGCAGCTGACAACAATCTGGCACGAGAGCTTGGAGATAGTGTACCAGATGCTCCAGCACGAGTTGAAGAGATCGTCGCTGAGAACCCAGCACATGCGACCAACCGTCGCCTAGGTACGTCAAACATTTCGATGGGACATAACTGGTCGTCATTCTATCCACTGGCTACTTTACCTCGCAGAGAGTTTGTTGCTCATATAGCCACAGTTTCACTTAAGCCCAAAGTCATTCCTCGCAATCATCCTACTCTGGACGATCTCAAATATTGGCCAATAATCCTGCAATGGAGAGCTATCACCTGCCTTGTCCTTTTATACGCAACCACAGCGACAGCAATCGGTCTGCTCATGTGGAAGTCCTTTCAAGATCCGAATCACAACTTTCGACTCTCGAGTGATAATGTACACATGATATCAAGATATTTCCCTTCGATCATTGGCACAGTCACGGTCCTATTTTTCCGCCAAACTGTACGTGAAGCATTGCGAATGGTGCCTTTTGTGGCCATGGCCGACCAGAACGGGTGGCTAACTAAAGGGTCTGAGCCATGGAAAGGTGTCGGCGGTGCATGGTTTCCATGGCAAAGTTTTACAACAACCCCGAACAGCTCCATATCGTTCCTCTCCCTAGTTTGTCAGTTTGCTGCCTCTTATATCGTCAGTCTCAAAGTGGCGCTATTTGCGAGCACTCCAAAATTCGACCCCGACACGAAAGAGCCTTATTGGATCCTGACTGTACGAGTCTATCCAGCAGCTGTGCTCATTTTTGGCTATATACTGATGATTATCTACACTCTGTATATCTGTTGGCATTTCCGCGGGAAATCAACCGGCCTTAAATGGGACCTAGTCTCAATCGCTGATTACGCCTCCCTCTTCGCACACTGCAACGCATTACAATACTTTGCTCCACTTGAGCTCCGGCACGATATGCGGCCGCAACATGTAATGGTACCAAATCGATGCTTCCGGCTTGGGTACTGGACGAGGGTTCGAGACAATCCCGAGCAAAGTGATACAGTTTACGGTATCGGAGTTGAGTTTTCTGGCCATACAGGTATGTATTCAGTAGAAACCATAACAGCTAAAATGACAGACCTGATTTCTTTCCAGACACTGGTACCTCTCAAAAAGAGAGGGAACCCCTGGGTCGTCCTTGGAAGTATAAGGCTACCTTCCGACAAGTGAAACCACCACCAAATCCTGTGGACCGATGTAACAGACCTAGAAAGTGCGCACACGGGACTTGGCCGAATTGTGAGCATTATCCCTACAATTATAATCCAGGCTGTGCACGGTGGACGATTGCACTTGCATCCTTGTTGCCCATTAGTGCCTTAGCATTAAGCATCTATGCTTTGGTCATTCGCTTGCCAAACCATGGCTTCTCCCTTCCGAATAATCTCAAACTTCCATCGACCATTTATTATGGATGGGGTTCTAGCAATCACACCTTGCCACCTATTGATCCTGCCGATCCGAGTTCGACTGTGCTCTTATGGGCGCTGATGTTCAGGTCTGTCCCAACTTATGTGGCTGGCTTGTTCACATCTACCATAATCACCTGGATAGACTTAAATATGCGTTTCATGCAACCGTTCCGAAACATGTTTGGGAAGCGCCTTGATGAATCTTTCGTGCAGCAAGTGAGAGATTTTATTGGTTGGCCCTGGTGGAGACGCAAGAAAGCCTCAGCTGAGCCGGAAGAGCGAATACCAGCTACTGCAGCAGAGTCTATTCTCCTCGCATACATCACTGTATCGCCCCTCCAAGTCCCACTGACGGCTTGGGATAAGGGCCACTACAAAGTCTGCATTTACTCGACGCTTAGCACCCTTTCGCCGCTGTTCCCAATATTTGTCGGTGGGCTTCTCACTGTCACTCCCAACGAGACGTATGACCGAGTCAACTTTTCATTTTCTCTATCTGCGTATATCGGCATCATGGTATCGTTGGTGTTGTACTCTATTCTGTTACCGGCAGCCATGCCAGGGGCGTACAGGCTCCTCCCTCGTCAATTGTACAGCCTAGCTGATCTTATGGCTATGTGCCATGAGTCCAAATTCATGGCAAGCCCGCATTTAGACATTACAGATTCCGACCGCACCCCGTCCAAAGAGCACATGGAAGCTCGAATTCTACTAACAGACGACCGCTTCCTCTTTGGTGTGTATCACGGACGCGATGGGCACCGCCATATTGGCTTCGACGTTGCTCAGGAACGGAAGCCTGATTTTGGACCTTTGAAGAATGTGGAAAACTCTGTTGAGCATATCCCACCCGAGGGCTTTGCGTCCAGAGTTCACCGAACCGTGACCGGCATGATGGAGGAGGGAAGAAAGAAGGGCAAGGCAATGACTGGTGGAATGGTTTGGAACGTGAGGAGTCCATTTGCACAACGGAGGCATGGCATTCGGTCTGGCGAAGAACATGAAGATATTGCGTTGACGCACATGTCTGGCGCCTTAGGGCCGCCCCGTGCTAGAGCAGAGGCATCTGGCTCTCAAGTACAACAAATCGGAAGTGGAGGTAGGACGAGGCCAACGAGGTCTGACTCACCGCATAACTGAGACTGAGTACGTTAAAGAAGACCATATTTTCTAGAAAGTCTCAGACGACATTTCTTCACATTTGCTTCTAACGCGGTTAGTCAGCGTCGCCGCTCTGCTCAGGCGCTACTCACCCTCGCCTCACCCTCTGCTCAGGTTACTCAGTCACGTCCCTTCTTAGTGACCAATCATTGTTTGCTTATTATTCAATTTTGCCTTGCGAAAGTTGTCAACTCTATACGACTGTACTTAAGGGGGGGACCAAGTCGGCTCCCAATGAACCCAAACACCCCCGCCCCCACCTAAAATACATTGTTAATTCTCAAGGCAGATTTTTCTCGCAACATGGCATAGTCCTGGCTTTTTCCAATAGAGAGGTGCCTGCCCTTGCGCTCTTTTATTGTAATGCCGTCGGTTACGCGTTGGGTATAGGGAGAAGCTTAAGCAAATACGTCGAAGCTCGAACAAAGTTGATTGCCTATACACGAGAGTCTAAAGCTAAAGAAAAAAGAAGGCAGGTCTAGAGAGAGAAATGCGTAAGCTATTTAAATGCCCTGTATCTAGTTACGTGCAACAGCCTTGCTCCAAGTTCTATTAGATTAAAATTCGTGAACTTTAAGCCAAAGCAGACCGAATTTCATTACTATAATTTGGACTGTTTTGGATTTAAGTATAAATGAAGAACATACGCGACTTTATAGCATATTAAGAAATCCTACTTAGATGCAACTACTTCGAGTTATAGTCTTTTAAGCCGACGTAGTTGCAGTTGTAGTACTTCGAATCTGAAAATGATTTCGGTTTACGAATTGGATCCCTGGTATTCGGAATGGGACAAGATTCAGCTCCTTCTGAATTTTGCTCTACTGTTAGTTTGATGGTACCGTACGAAGGCGACGGGCGTTGAAATCCGCCCATTTCCCTAAGCGAGGGCTCCCAAGCTCGCTTCCTCGCATTCAAAATTTCGTATTAAAAGTATTCTAAAGTTTGAAGCTACCATAACATAGGGGCAGACACTTCGCCTTCTTCTCTATAACATACGCTTCGAATGGAATTATTCGAGCGTGGTGGCTTGGCGATGCGCAATTTTGAAAATATAGTGATTTTGGTGTTCCTGCCGCAAGCGACATGGGTGGATTTCAACGCCTGTCGCCTTCGTATTGATGATGTAGGGCCACGTGATGCGTCGGTAAAACTTCGGTTACTTTTCAAAGTCGAAATAGAGTTAATAATTTTAATTAAGATCATTTGACCCAACATAACTGGACAGATGGCCGAGCTGGTAAGCTTTCAGTACCATCAATATCAACAAATTCGTACTAACTGTTTAAGGTTATGGCGCCAGGTTAAGGTTATTCTTAGCAACATCTCCTGGTCACGAAAGTGGCGTGGGTTCGAGTCCCACTCTGTTCATTATTTTTTGTTCATTATCTTTTTGGCGGGCGTGGAGGCTTTTTCTTTGTAGGCGAGGTCCCCTCGCCTCCTCCGTGTTTTTTATCCCACGGGCGGACGGTTTTTGAAAATCGTCATTTTCGCCAAGGCAAGGAACACCAAAATCTCTCCCGTTTAACAATTGCGCATCGCGACAACCCTAGGTTCAAATACTTTAATTCAAGCTTTTTGCGATAAAGGAGAGACTAAGGTATCTTTCCTTGTATTTTGGTAATTTCCGAGTATTAGAGAGTTTTATTACGATTTTTTGAACGTGAGGGATTAGTTTTCAAAGCCCTCGCTTAGGGAAATGGGCGTATTATAAGCGAACAAAATCAAAATGAAATCGACCTAGACAATCCAGTGTATGACTCTTTCACCTCTTTTACAATTTTGAGTATGATACTGACATAGTCGTGGATGCAGACTCCATACCACCCTAACAGGCCTTAGAAAACATTTCGAAACAGTGAAACTCACTCAACACGAATACCGAGTCTATAGCCCGCCTGGGAGCACACCAATCGACACAGAAAGCAACGCTTCAATTTCAAGTTTTCGGGACGTATATAGATAGAAAGACCATCTGTACGACTAGCGTTGCCAAGTACATGGCTGTACTTTTGGAGTGAGGCACGCCATGCTTTTCGATTTGCATTTGATCTGCAAGCATATAGACGGAGGTTTAAGATGGTACTGCAGGCATCCTCTCTACCGTATCAGATCCTGGGCTGCACATTCCACTCAGAGTGTCAGACAGCATGAAGAGACCTATCACGTTAGAATACAGATGAAAACTACAAGTTCTGCGTTTTGCGTCATCCCGAGAGCCTCGACGAGCGCTGGTCGCAGGGAAGGAAGCTACGTATGTCTTTCGACGCTATGCCGTAGCTGAACCAAAACACTGGAGAATCTGTACACCCAAAATTCATCAAATCTATTTCCTCGGATGCATTACGCCGGAGTATCCTCGGAAAATTTCTGTGCACTATCCAATTGTGTGGCGAGGCTTATACATCAGTGAGGAATATCGTCGTTCATCAGCTTACTTACTACTCACTTCAATTTCGTGATGGCATGTCCTATTGGATGTCGAGCAACTTTCGCATCGCTTGAGACCGTTCAAGATCACCTGGAAGAAGCTCATACGCGAGCGTTCCCTCTAATGCAGGTTTCTTCGCTCACAGATGTTGACGCGATGCATGAATTCCTCGAGTCTCAATGTTTACAATGTCGGAAACGGCCAGGCGAGTCAACGATGCGCTCAATACTAGTCCCAACACTGTCTTCTTTATAGACGTTGAGACTACAGTGTCATTTATGGGACAAGCCACTGAAGCTATTGAGATCAGTGTCATAGGCGGTAATAACACAATAGTTGATTATGGTCTCACAATAGATCAAATGTTCAATATGTACGCCGCACCACCTAATGGACGACTTTCGCTATCGAACTCTAGCCAAAGTATTTGGCCCGCCAAGTGAAAAAGGCGTTTCTGGCCGTCGACTAGAGCAGATTATCCAGATACTCAAAGCGGCAGGTATGAATGAGTATTCTATTCTTGTCGACTGGTCGATGAGTAGTTATGACTGGCACGCTTTGAAAAGACTCATCAGTAGGGCTGGTAATAGTGATACAGCAGTCCTACCATTATATTCGAATAGGTGGAGACTTCTACAGGAATTGAAACATAACATGCCCGGTATAAGCTGCTCATTGGATAAAGTATTTCCACTTATTTTTCCTAGTAGCAAACTTATTGGGATGAACCACAAATCATTGCCAGATACACAAATGTTAGTAAAGCTAGCCCAGAAATTCTTTAATATTGCTTCAAAATAATAAACTAGATATATACTATATAAGATAGTCGAAATATTAGCGTGTTTATACCTGACTTAAACATTACAGCTTAAGGATTAGCAAGCTATTAAATCGTATATAAATTGGGCTATTAAGGGAGAGCGAGAAAAGCCTCCGTCAGGAAATCGATATATAAATAAAATGGAAACTATAGCCGATTCGCGAGAGGTGCCCAAAGAGGATCTCCCTGAGCATGCTCCAGCTGACTCATTAGCGTGCTCAAGACTTGGGGCTCGGCTGAGGTTAGAGCAGCGACTGCTCGGGTCCAGAGAGGGAAGTGGATTTTGGTGGGCCGAATTGTCGTCTGAGACTTTAAGGGAAATAAGCAGCATCCTAAATTAGCTAAGGGGTAAACTGAGGTTTAATAACTACACATCGTGAGTAAATAAAGCTCATTTGAGGCTTATACTTAATGCAAGAGGAATTTCCACAAGTTATATACGCGTCGACCATATAAATCACGACAAAACCTTCTATGCTTGAAGCTTGCAGCTCACCTACCTTCGAGACCATCGTCTTACGTCAGTAGAAAAGCTGAAGGAAGTGGCTTTGTGCGGCGCGCCTAGCCTGATTGGGATGTTTCGGAACCTTTGCTCTCAACCAATCGCTTGCTTGCACCATCATACGTTGGATCACCTCGCAGCCTCGCGAACCACTCAAGACTTAAGGCCTTGCATTTGCCACTGTCATCTTTCTCTTTGAATTATCGGCTGTTCAGTAATCAGTATCTCTAATCCTACGCAAGTTAGTGCGCTCCTCACATCATTTCACGATGAATCATCCGCCGACCTCGTTGCCAGCGGCATTGCCACGTACCTTCCTGTTCGTCGGCCAAAACCTTGCCAACCATGGACTTGAAAGATCTTCAGCTTCTCAAACAATTGAAGAGCTATGCGAGGTAGATCCACGGACTCTTGGAGTCCGCGAAGCTACTAGACTGCGCTGGGAAGAGTTGAAGCCGCTAATTCAGCGCGTTTACATCGACGAAGACAGACCGTACCCTTATCTAGCGACCCTTCTCCGCACCGAGCACCGATTTGAGACTACGTATGATCACTCAATTATTATGTTCGTTTGTCTACCAATCTCTACTAACTCGTGCATCAGAAAACGTCAATTTTCAAGGAAAATCCAAGAATGGGGATTTCGAAAGAACGTCTCGGGTTCCGAGCGTCGAGAGATTCTACAGTCACTTCCTGAGCATGACATAACTTCTACTCTCTACGCCAAAGATCCGAGGCTTAAGCCAGAAAAATTGAAGAGTTGGAGAAAGAGGTACAGGGATGACGTGGATGATCTGTCGTGTCGCTGTGCTAATCCCCAACCGTCCTCTTTGTTATGTAAGTCTATGTTGCGTTCTGTGCAACAAGCTTGAATAATAAATTTTTTTCGCCTAGTACCAATTACCATATCAACCAACAAGACGAATATGGAGGAGATTGATGGCGATTCCAGCCCAGGAACCCTGCAGGGGTCTCCGCCGATCCAGTCTCCTGCAAATTCTGTCTCGAAAACTGAATCTCTGACCGAAGATTCCTGGCTGATCAACTGGTCCACTGTCGAAGTTCCTCGTTCTCCAGACTTGTCACGGCTGTTCAAGGCATTAAAGATCGAGTGCTCAAACCCAGTGCCGGCATTGTCATTGGAGCCCGGGTATCTGCCAGATGTACCAACCTGTATCTCCAAGACCGACATGAAAGACCTATTCAATGACGACAATAAGCTCCTAAATTCCGATTGTAGCCCATTGTACTCCCACGGAAAATGCAGAACTTCGAGATCCTTACCAGTGCTCCCAACCAACCTGAATCCACAGATCGCACACCCCCTCCTGCAGGACTTCGCCGAAGCAGTATTTTTCGGATACTCTGCAAGCCCTCTGAACGAACTTTATTGCTTCTCTGGTGGGCCGCCCACAACTACAAATTCGATCACTGGTTCCCATCGGACCACCTGGGGATCACTCGCCTTGCAAGAGACAGATTTCGAAACTAAGCTCACGAAATTAACACCACAATTTGGCACAAATCACCCTTCAGTTATTGCGGCTATGGAAAGTCTTTCCCAAACCTACTATGACCGCAGAAAATATTCCGAGGCGGAGCACTGGGACCGAAAGCTTCTAAAGCTGTACACGAATAAGATGGGAAGAGAGAATCTGAAAACCCTCGATGCGCTACAACGTCTCGTCGACACTCTCGTGGCCCAAGGAAAGTATTACGAAGCTCGATCCCATAACCGCAGTTTATTTGCAGCGTATATCAAAATTGGCCACCTCGGGCTTCCACGAATTGCACACACTCTATCAAACGACGCCTTGATCGCTGAAGAACTGGGCCACACCGACGAGGCCGAGAGCCTTCTTCGTCAAGTCCTACAGTTGTGGCTGGATTACTGCGGGCCGCGGGATAAGAGAACACTCTATTCAATGACACAGCTAGGCTACCTCCTAGTGCTAACAAAAGGCCCTGGTGGCGATTTGCTGCTAAGGACTGCCGTAAAACTTCATCTCGAAGGATCAACAGCCACAGACGAAGAAGCGTGCAGAGCGATGACGAGCCTGGCAGCAGCATTCTGGGCACAAGATACACACGAGGAAGGCTGCCAACTGGCTCGAAAGTCATTAGAAAAATTTTCTCCGGTGCTCGGCGAGGAGCATCCGGACGTGTTGGCAACAAAAGTTGCCTTGGCTCAGAATATGGCCAAGGGAGGCGATTTGACGAGCAGTGAGAGGCTCTTCCGAGAAGTTGTTGCTACCGAGTCAGGAATTGGCGACAGTACGGAAGTTCATGGTTTATTGAATAGCAAGTGCGGGCTTGCCAGGGTATTGACGTTGAGGGGCTATTATGATGAGGCTACCAAATGGTATCTGGAGGCTCTTCATGCCAGAGCAAGTGCCTTCGGCTGGGACTATCGATACACACTTAGAGTTGTTTACGATCTTGGCGAGTGCTACCAGATGTGCAATCGATACGATGACGCTATTAGCTTGTACCGAGAAGTGGTTCGTCAACTGTGGATGACCAACCGTGTTGGCAATGCCTGTCACCCGGATATCGATGATCTGGAGTTGTGTATTACAATGTTTGAGGCTTCCAACTTGGATACAAACGCGCTA